GCCTTCCCCTCCCTGGCCCAGGCCCAGGCCTCCGTGGCCAACGAGATGTACCAGGAGCTGGGCCAGCCCTCGGTCTTCCTCTTCTGCCCCACAGGTACCTCCCGCAGCAGGTCCTTGGACGCCCGGCGCTTGGCAAGCCGGAGCACCCCACGCCACGCTGGGGTGCCCTCAGCTGGGTGCGCCCAGCACGTACCCCCCAAAACCTTGCTGCCCTGGCAGCCCACTGCTCCCCCCGGCCCCCCGGGGTCCCCCACGCTCCGGGACACTTTGCAGCAGCCCTGGAGATCTCAGGACTAGCACAGGACCAGGCTGCAGATGGGCCAGCACTTTGGCAGCTGCACACGCTGTATTGCCTGCACTACAGATCTCCCCGTCCCGCATCCCACCTTTCCTCCCCTGGGCAGCCTGGTTCCCCTGTCCTCACAGGATGCTCTGTGCTCCCTCCCCAGAGTACTGCAGCTCTCTGTGCCAGCCCAGCCCCAGCCAGTCCTGCTACCTGCTGACCCTGGGCCGGGAGCTGCTCCCAGGGATCGGCGTCATCTGGACCGGTGAGCACCCTGCCCCACTCTGCGGGTGCCCTGCCCCACGCAGCACTTCTCCACGAGGCCCAGAATCCGTGAGCCCTGCAGCCACGGGCTCCTCCTGGGAGAGGAGCCAGCAAGGGGCCCTGCAAAGCACCTCCTGGCACTGGGGTGAAGCGGGAGGAGGCTGTGGGGCTGCTCTCGTCCTCCAGTGTGTCTCGACTCCCATCTCGGGTCTCAGTGCCCACATGTGCATGTCCTTGCATGCATATTCATGCATGTGCATGCATGCATGCAGGTGCATAGGACATGTGCATGTCCCAGCATGATGCACCATGCTACCTGCATGCTCCATGCACATCTGTGCTGTGGTGTCCTGTGTTTGTGCTCCAGGACCAAAGGTGGTGTCGCAGGAGCTCTCGGCCACACTGCTGGAGGAGGTGGAGGGCATCCTGCAGCGCCGCCCCATCATCTGGGACAACCTTTATGCCAATGACTACGACTGCAGGCGTGTCTTCCTGGGCCCCTACACGGGACGTGCCCCTGGTCTGGTGGCCAGGCTCCGCGGACTGCTCCTCAACCCGAACTGCGAACTCCAGGCCAACTTCATACCCATCCACACACTGGGCAGCTGGTTTCGGAGTGAGCTGGGGAGCAGCACCCACCCCGAGCACGCAGGTACCTGCCCCAGCTCTGTATGCAGGACCCGGTGCCCCCAGGGCCGGGCCATGCCCATCCCTGCCCGTCCATGCCGTGGCCTTGCGGGATCCCCTGGGGACAGCCTGGGGAGGTCTCTTGCCCAGCTGGGAGCCCCCCAACTCCCCAGGATAGGGGTCCCTCCTGAGGGGTGGCCTGCCCTCCCTAGATGTGGTGTGCGATAAGTCATTCGAGCAAGAGTGGGGCTGCCCAGACCGATGGACACTATTTCCGTAGGGACAGAGACCGCGTCAGCCCTAGGGGACCACTGCCTGGGCCCAGAGGAGGGGAGCTATGACCCCCAGGAGGCCTTGGAGCTGGCCCTGCGGGACTGGGTGGCTGAGATAAACCAGCAGACCTTGGAGCCAGGTGGGTGATGGGCTCACACTGTGCAGCGTCTGACACCCTGGGGTGCTGGACGGGGTCTGCAGGGAGCAGGATGGGCCCGTGCTCCACCGGTTTGGAGGGAGCTCTTTTAGGGGGCTGCAGCTGGATCCTTATTTCCCTTGGCGGGTTGGCACAGGGCAGTGCTCTGGGGCACAAGGAGGGAGGGCCGTGACTGCTTGAGCTCTGTGCTGGGTGCTCAGGTGCTTGCTTTCCCTGGGGTGAACAGCCCAGGGAGGGGACACGGCGTCTCCTGTGGTGCCGTCACTGCTGGAGGAGCCTCTGCCTGAGGAGTGGTGGGAAAGGCAGGAAGCAAAACCGGGCAGGTGGGACGTAGGGTCTGAAGCTTCAGCTGCGGCAGTGGCCATGCACTGACTCCTCCCAGGGCACCAGCTGGGAGGGAGCCCCGGGGCATGGGAGCGCGTGGGCCGGGAGGGTTCCCAGCAGAGACATGCGCCAACGCACCAAGTGCTGGGGGACCTCAGCGGGGACTGCTGTGCTGCTACGGCCAGCTGAGCCTGGGCAGGCGTGGGGGGCTCAGGTGCTGGAGGATGCCCACCTCAGCAGGGCAGCAGTTTATGAAAGCAGAGGCTGAGAGAGCTGGGGAGGATGGCGGCCAGCAGAGCAGAGCTGTGTGGAAGCTGGGAGAAGTGCTGCAGGGTGGTGACTGCATGAGCCCAGGCTGTGTGAGCTGGGAACCGGTGGTGTGGAAGAGGTGTATGACCCTGAGGACGCGGTTCATGAACAGCTTTGGAGCGGGAACGGGAGGAGGCAGCAACTGAGCAACTTGAGATGGTGCTTAGTGGCCTGAAAGAGGATGATGGGATGTGTTTGCTGCAAGGAGGAGCAGCAAAGTCTGCTCCCTGCTTCCTCGCATTTTTGTCCCTGCAACAATGGGCTTGGCAGGAGATGAGAAAGTTTGGACCATGATGTGGCTCTGGCAGAGGGGGTTAAGCCAGGCACAAGCTTGTTTTTTGCACTGTTTGCAAAGCCTCTGTGATGCTCCTGGCCTTGTTGGACACGGAGAGCTGAATGCAGGAGCAGGAGGCTGTGCAGAGCCCTGGTCCCAGCCATGCCAGCTCAGTCCCGGCGCATCCCAGCATGGCCACCTGGCAGGGTCCTGCCCAGGGCAGCTGTTTCGGTGCGGGTGTCGAA